GCTCAGCCCTCTCCTTCAGGATGTTGTTTTTGTAACGGAAGGGCTGGAGGGCGGGGTGTGCGCGTGGGTGGCGGGGCCGCGGTGTCGGCGCCCGCGCAGAACTCCCTCCGCTCTCCCGGGCCCCGCCCCTGACCCCTGCCTCGGGCCCCGGGTGCCCGACCCCGCGCGCGGGGACGCCCACAATGTGCTCGGGCCGTAGCCCCTGCTGGGCCTAGGGTCTCGGCCCGTGGGCGGACAGGGGCGCGTCCCCCGGAGGGAGGCGGCTGAGGACCCTCCGGAAGCAGCCCTGCTGTCAGAAGGGAGACCCCGCCCCAGGCAACGCCAAGTCCCCCGCCGAGGCCCCCAGGGGTCGACTACAGAACCCAGAAGGTTCCGGAGAACCGGAGGGCTCCGGGGTCCGTGGTGCTCAAAGTCGGGGGGCGCCCTGGTCACATCCGCGGGCAGCAGGGGGGCAGCACGGGAAGCTGAGGATACTTCGGCCCGGGCCGGGAGCCAAAGACAACTCGGTCTCTGCGCCCCGGCGCCCACTGCGTGCTCGCGCGCCCTCTACCGGGCCCCACGGAGGCTCCGCGAAACACGGGCCAAGTGCCTGCGGGTGCTCGCGTGGAGGCGGGGTGCGTGTGAACATGTGTATGTGCGGCTGAAGGTAACAGCGGAGGTCACCGGCAACGGCGCGCACGCACGTGTGCACAGAGGTGCCCGGGGAAGGTGGTGCTGGCAGCAGGTGAAGATCACCCCCACCCCCACCACCGCCTCTGTCGATCCACCAGCCTGGGGTCCTGTGTGGACCAGGGGAGACCCAGAGCAGCGCCCCTCGGGCTGTGGAGGCTCCAACCACACGCTGACCCCACTGGAGGTGGAGGGTCTCCCCCATCCCAGGAGGAAGACTTGAGGCCAGTAGAGAGAATCCCACATTGGTGAGAGTGAAGAACAGGAGAGTCTCTAGGATAGGACCCAAGAGTGATGAAGGTGGAGGATGCATGATGCCCCTTGCGACCTGTCCCCAGCACTCCCCCTGAAGCTGGTTGGAGCCTGGAGCTGTCCTAGCTGCCTAGTCATGACCATCCTTGGGCAGTGGATCAGCACAGGAAAAAGCCCATCAGTCCACCACTGACTGGAAGAGCCAGACTTTGAGGGAAAGCCCCTGAGCCCAGGCTAGGGACCATCCCCGGGTCAGCCTAGGCCAAGGGCGCTGACCTCCATCCCCCTAGGCTCTGATGGGGAGAGTGGACAGGGCTCTGTGAGGTGGGCACCCGCTCAGCAAAGCCTGCACCGTCTCCCCTTGGGTCTCGGTTTCCCCAGAGGTAATCTGAGGAAGCCAGGTAGTGGCTGGCTCTCTGCTGGGCGTCTAGGGGAGGGAGACAGGCCCCACCCTGAGAGCTCCCAGGGGACCAGCATCCCCCAGGCCAGACATGAATGACTGCTGGTCTCACAGATGTAGGGTCTGATGCCCCATCTGTGCTCTGCCCCCCCCCCCTCCTCAGGCCTCTCTTTCTCACCTGGCTGCCCAAGTCCTATGAGAGAGGCTGGTAGCCAGAGGCCAGAGCTGACTCTGTGGTCAGGCAGGCACACTGCAACGGGGAGTGAGTTTGTGGTCCGAGCAGTGCAGCTACTGTGGGGCCAGGGGTCACAGGCTGGGAGGGAGGCACATTTTCAAGCAAGCCACAGCTCCCTGGCCCAGCCTCCCTCCCTGCCTTTGCCACTGTGGGACCCTTGCAGGTGTGTAGTGAGGAGACAGCCACACTGAGGTGCTGTCTGAGCATCTCACATCCAGAGTCTGGACATTCAGATAAAAGCCTGAACCTAGGATGCCCACCACAAACTCCTGCCTTGTGTCTCCTGCGGTATCTTTTAAAATGACCACTCAGAATTGAGCCTACAAAAAATTAGTGACCACCATCCCAACCACCTTATAAGTAATAGGAGTATGCTACCCTGCTGTCTCTCTCCTGATCTGGAATGGAGAACTGCCCTTCTGAAGCCTTGCTCACCGCACCCCTGTCCTGGGATCTGTAAGTAACACATCCTTTGACTTTACTCCCTTCACGTGCGTGTCCTGGGCCTTCCTCACAGCCGCCCCGGGGTTTTCACTTCCCCAGAGTGGGAGCTCCGATGCCAGGTCACCTGCTGGCCCTGTGTGGCTGGCTTGTGCCCCTAATTCAGCCAGACATAATCTGCATGTTCTCCACACACCACCCCAGGGTTTCCAGCACAGGGTGACAGACATCCTTTCCCGCTTCCTGCTGCCCTGGAAGAGTTTTGGGGGATGGGGTCAGGGCTGGGGAAACACAAGGGCTTCTTCCTCCTGCAGCCCCCTCCCATCCCCCTCACAAGCCTTTGGTGCCTACTCCTGCTTCCCCCGCTTTATCCTCACACATCTAATCCCATTTTGGCATCTGCTTCTCAGAGGGCTGTCCTCTGAGCATGTCCAGGCTCCCCCCCTCCACGTCCAAATAAGCCCTCAGAAGAGAATCTAGAACTCCTTTACAATCAGGAATAGTGCCATAGGATTGGACCGGATGTTGCTCTTCCCAGGATACCTGGACTCAGACTTTCCACTCAAAGAAATGGGTGGTGACAGCAGGGCTTCAGATGAAGCAAAGCATTTCGAGGTTCCCAAGGCCCAGACTCTGCCCCCCAGGATATGAAGTAGGAGCCACAGAGGCATACCTGGGGCGAAGTCTAAAAATCATGGAGTCTTTATTGTGATGGTGGCAGTTTCCCAGGAGCAAATGTGGGGTGTTGGGGGTGGCAGCACAAGCCACTCTAGAACCATCTTTACCCCTCCCCTGTCCTCAGGCAAAACAGAAGCCAAATGAGGTCCCAGCCCCAGACTCCAGCCCAAGGAGGGGCTGCGGGAGGGGGGTCAGAGTCAAAAGTCACATGGAGCCCAGTGACTGTCAAGGCACTTGCTGGAAACAAAGCTGGAATAGGGTGGAAGGCAGAGAAGAAGCCCCAGGTAGCCCAACACAGAGCAGAGGGGAATTAGTCTGGGGCCTGGAGTGTGCAATCCTCAGATCCCAGCCGTAGGCTCCCCCTAGAAAGGGGTGAAGAAGGGGCCAGGGTGCTAGCCCTGAGGCTGACCTGAGCTCCAAGAGCCGCACTGAGCCCCAGCCCATAGTGGCAGGGGCCAGGAGAGCCTGAAGGACTGGTGAACATCAGCAGGGCTGTGCCTGGGTTGGGGGAGGGGCAGGACCACCAGTGAGTGTGGGAGCCAGCAGGCACCTGCTGAGGGCTGGTGAAGGGGCAGCTGCAGCTCCAGCAGAATCCCAGAGCCCGCTGCTGCTTGTGAGGATTGGGATGGCTCCCGGGAGAAGGGTCTGGAGACAGCCTTGCTCTGTGCCAGTCCAGGCCAAGTTCCAGGACAGCGGGACCAGCCGCTGGAAGGGGGTCGGGTGAGCCACATGAGGGTCAGGAGGTCATCCTCCAAGATGGACAGATAGGAGTTGGCAAGGCTGCTGGCCCAGCCAGGAGCCCAGGAACACCTTATTTGCAGTACTCCTTTCGGAACTCTGGAAGCCAAGGGAACAGGCGGGTGTCTGCCCTCTATCCCTCTGTCACAGGGGTAAACAGAAGGCAGACATCTAGCAGGACTGCCCAGGGACTCCTGCCCCTGGGGCTGGCTAGTGAGTGTGGGTGGGTGAGGTATGGGCCCAGCCCTCCTAGTCACTCACCCCTGTCCAAGTCAATGTTCTTGATGGGCAGTGGGCTGTGGCCCAGCTCAGCCCTCTCCTTCAGGATGTTGTTTTTGTAATCTGGTGCAGGGAAAGAGCAGGGTGAGGCCCCCCCACCCCAGAGATGTGCCTCCCCTAGCTCAGGCCTGGGAGCCACAGCCTTCACCTTGGTTCTGGGGCCATCCCTCACCTAATTGGATGTCCTCACTCCTGTAAAGAGCCTGGTCTCCTGTGGCCACAGCAAACTCTGCCATGTTCACATCCTTCCTGGAGGTGGGAGGGTGGTGGGCAGTTAGAGCAGAGCGGGGTGGGGGTGGGGGTCTGGTCCCCAGGAGAGCCTGGAGGGGGCACTCACCCCTTTGACTTCCCCGACTTCTTGTTGGAGTATTCGTAGCCTGGGGAGGAAGACTCATGTTGGGCCCAGTCTCACCCCCTCCCCAGCTCCCTCAGCCCTGAGGAAGCCTCCCATCCCTGCTTACTCTCTGCTCAAGCCACCGCACCCCACACCCCGCCTCTGGTCAGGGAAGGCTTCCTAGCTCTGGCCTCAACCGTGCGGGATGGAGCCCCAGCTCACCTCCGCGGCGACGCTGCCGGGTGGCCAGGATGACGGTGATGAGCAGCAGGATGAAGAGGAGCAGGGTGGCCAGCACGTAGCCCAGCTGCTGGAAGAAGTGGGCGCGGCCCTCGGGCACTATGACGTTGATGACGCTGCGGCCGCGCGCCAGGGTGGGATCTGCACGGGCCGTGCGGGGGCGGTGTCAGGGAGCGCGCCCGGGACCCACAAGGCGTGCACCCGATCCAGGCCGCCCCTGCGGCGCGGGGCCCAGGAAGGCATGGACGGGAGGGGGCCTCCCCTCGGCTAACACCCAGGCCCGGGAGGGGGACAGGGAGGGGCCCCGCGGCACCTGGGCCAGGGGCGCCGCTGTGGCTGGAACCGTTGCCCGGCGAGTCCCGCGGGGGCGGCTCAGCGACGGGCTCGGTGACTCTCAGGTGGAAGATGCGGCGCTCGTGCAGGCCGCAGTAGTGATGGTGCAAGTGGCAGGAGTATGTGCCCTCGTCAGCTGGCTCCAGCGGGTCGATGCGCAGGGAGAAGTCGCCGCGCGCAAAGGCGTCCGCCCCCACCGCCACGCGGTCGCGCAGGAAGGGCGGCCCGTAGGCTCGGCGCTCGCCCGACGCGTACAGGTCCAGCAGGCGGTCAGCGCGGTCGTGCGGCACCCCGGGCGGCTGTCGGTCCCAGTGCACAACTTGCTGCGCCTCCTCCAGGTGCCGGTCGGTCCACACGTGCGCCTGGTTCACGCAGGTGAGCAGCGCGGGCGAGCCGCGCTCCACCACCAGCACCTCCTTCTCGCCGTCCCTGTGCACGCCGGCCTCCCGGGCTGGGGGTGCAGGTGGGTCAGCGCCGGCGGGCGGGGAGGGAGCCCGCAGGGGCGCGTCCCGGGGCGGGCGGGGTGGGGGGCACACTCACGGTTGTCCGTGACCTCCAGGCGGACGGCCAGGGTCTCGAACAGGTGGCAGTAATGGTGGTGCAGGTTACAGGTGTACAGGCCTGCGTCGGCCTCCTCCACCGCTGCGAGCCGGCGGAAAGCCCGGCGGTGAGGTGTGCAGCCGGCCCGCGCCACCCCGCCCCTGCACCGCCCGCCGCGGTGCCCAGGCCCCTTACCGCGGATGAGCAGCGAGAAGTTGCCGTCGCGGAAGGCGGAGAGCGGCAGCTGGAGGCGGCCGCCGTCGCGGGGCTCGTACACGCGTTGCTCGCCCGCGGAGTACATGTCTACGAGTCTGCGGGCCGGTCCGCCGGCCGGGCGGCCGCTGAGGTCCCAGTGGACCACGCGCTGGCGGTCGTGCAGCCGGTCCTGGGTCCACACCATTCTCGGGCTCTGGCAGCGCAGGACGGCCAGGGCGCCCGCCGCCCAGCTCACGGTGGACTCGGACACCACGGAGCTGGCGGCTGGCACGGGCCCTGAGGGCACTGGGGGGGGGGGGG